CTATTCAGTGTCTTCTATAAGCTTTTTCAAATCCTATTTCTATGGCTAAATTCCTATTTTGCAGATTGTGTGCATGTGTATGTATTAAGTTAGAGGAAGGCTGCATGTGCACACACATACACACATGCACACAGGCACACACACACACACACACACGTATAATATATACACACCTCCTATTTTAATGGATGAAGTCCTCCCATTGTGTCAGAAGCTCCAGTAATTACGTTGCTGCTGAGATTCTGTCATTTTTGTCCAGCCACAGCACTGAACCGTGGACATCACATTCCAAAGAATGCCAGCTGGTTATGACAAGAATATTCACATCTGCATGAGGACTTTACAAAACTGCTGCAGCCTACCCAGGCAATCTTCAAGCTCCAAACCATGAAAATAATACATTCACTCCAAGTATTTCTCATTATTATAAACTCCCCCATCATTTTCAGAGAGGAAGTGAGATTGTTATACTCTTCTCTGTGATGATGAGGGTTACTGTGACTCTCCACCCTAAACTTTAACCCCCAGCAGCCAACTGTGCTGAAAAGGATAGAAGTGTATGTATTATTAATGATGGCCAAATTCCACACATGAAAGGCTGGCATTGTGGCCTGGATGAAAGACCCTGTGTCTGCTCTCTCTATCTGTAACCCTGCTTCTTTCAATTTACAATTTACTTTTTGTTTCCTGCTCTGTCTTGCTTTTTTATTACTCATTTTGTAATCAGCTTAGTTGTAAAGTTGTATGTCACCATGTCATTCACTCCATCAGTTTCTCTCCAGGCTGTTCCAGCTTTGTTGGTGAACATAAGGGTGTTTGACACAACACAACAGCCTTTTGTCTTCATTCTTTCTGCAGTTTGAACAATAGCGAATTCTCATCCAGGAAGATGTCCACAGAAAACACCATTCTAGTTGTGCTGGTGCACCATATCTCTCTCTCTCTCAGAATTGTAAAGCTATATTGTTTTGACACAAATGGAAATACAGTCACATATTAGCATTAGCTTCCTATGCCTTTCCCATACTCGCAGGTTTTCTGTGGGTAATTTAGTTTTCTGTATAAAATGGCACATTTCAATGTACCCTCACCTCAGTGGAAGAGTGTCGTGCTCATCTGGAATTGGAAACATTTGAACTCATACATGAAATATCACTGCAGTCACAAGGTTGTATGTACGTCTGCTGCCCTCCACTGGACAAAATGCATCAATGCAGAAAAAGAAAGAATCCTCTTTTCTGGCAGTTCCAAGATGTTTTAGCTCGTGACCCTTTAAAACTAGGTTTAGTTCATAAATCTCTCCAGCATTTCATGATAAAATGCAAAGCTTAGACAAATATTTTTTTCCCCAGTTTGCCATTTAAATTATCTTCAAACTGATCCAGGGCCTTTTCAGTCTCTGTTTTGTTTCTCAGAGATCTAAAGTTTAAGTTATAGCTGTGAAAGATTTGTTTTGCACTTGGCCCAGAACGGCTATCACCCATCTCTGTCTTTCCCATTTCTTTTTTCACTGTGAACTATGTACACAAATTAATGTTTTATAAGCCAGCTTTTCTTACAATTAAGAAAAGTTATTAATATGAATATGTTTGTAGTTGCTAAGAGAGCCTATGTCTCTAGGACACCATACAGAACACTGGGCTTAAGAATATTGTGTCAAAATAGTCTTTCTAAGGTCAAGAATGGTAAACTTTTACTCCCTGTACTTCATTTTACATACAACAAAGGACACCGTGTTGGGAGCTATCAACATGCTGATCAACTCAGGTAACACTGAGTTGTGAAACTGTAGTGATTAACTTTTATAAGAGGAACAAAAAAAAAGAGGATGCAGTTTATATGTGTAATGAGATAAACACAGAAACCCTGATGTATCATAATACATAGCTGCTACATTTTGGACACAACATTGGTTTCATAAGTGTGAATCATAACCACAAGCTGGCTGTAGAAAACATTTTATTCACATTGTGCTCTGATGGTTTTGAAATGATGAATGGTATCTTGCACCATCTGAATAAATCATCAATCAAACCACACACACATTGCCACAGAGGATGAATGGAAATGCACTCTATGAAAATAATTAATTCAAGGTCAGGAGGCTATAAACAGTACATCCAAACCAGGTAACAAATCTCTGCCACAGGTCTTTCCTCCTTGTTGTTGAAAGGCCCCTGAGTCCCCTGTGGGACCAAAACATTGGAGGGAACTTATCTCAGTCATTAATTAGCTCAGGGATCTCAGACATTTTAATCAGTCTACTGTCACTCTCAAAGGACCGGGAGAGGATTAAAGCCCTGTCGCTGTACACCTCATTGTGTTGTTTTAAATCTTCACCTTGTCCTGAATAGACCACACTGGGCCAGTCCTCAGGCTATTTCAATTAGAACATGCTGGGGATGATATGAGATGACAGTGGTATTATAGGTGAGGGGCAATGAGCCCAGGCCCCTTGGTAGAGGCTATAAAGAGCTGTAACAAGGAAAAATAATAATAAAAAAAAGATCTGTGGATTAAGAAAATTTTTGCAATGCAAACAAAGCAGAATACTGTAAGGATAAGGGGACCCAGGTTTTTCCCATTTGATATTACTCTTTAAATTTGTACCCATTAGACATGATCACCCTACCAATAAGACTACCATAATCGATATTTTTACAACAAATGAGTGTATGCACAGTAGTAGATGCTGGCATTTGAAACTCTCTGTAGTTCCCTTCAACTCTGTGGAGTGTTTCTTTTAACTCTGTTTTGGTTTTCTGAACTCCAAATTTTGCTATTAACTGTCTGCCCCACGCTAAACACCAGATAGACAAGCTTATCGAAAAGCTGGTATGCTGAGGTGTTGTTGAGGAGTGGTTGAGGAGTAGTTGAAGAGTAGTTGATGAGCATTTAGCAGCTAAAGAGCCTGATATTTCCCCCATGGAGACCAGATCTAAAGACAAATAGAGCTAAAAGGGAACTGAGGATTGGACTATTGGACTTAATATACATTCATTAAGGGACTTTAAGCAAATGGTAATGTCGCTCAGCATTTACAGGAACAGGAATAACCAACGTCTAAAAAATTACTTAATGCAGATGTAACCCATTCAAATGGATTTCTTCCAAAGTTACAGTATTCAGTTGTCTGAAAGTGTCTTTTTGTTTTTTAAATTGAGTAGTAGTGGAGGGACAGTGACACAAAGATTGACCACTAACCTGTTCAATGTGGACATATGCTTTAAGATGCAGACTTGAGTCTTACACTTACACTTACAGTCTTTATGAAGATTTTTATTATGCATCTCCAAATAAATATTGTTTTGTTCATGTGACTTCTGTGTGTGTAGTAGATAGAGAAGTACATTTGGGAATATAAGCCAGCCACCCTATACACCGCCACTTTATACTTTCACCGTGTAAAAGCACACCCCCATTAGCCAGCCCTTTGTTTATTGTTGAGGGTTTGGGCATATCATTAATTGATAAGGGACCGTGTCTATCTGATTATCACTGGTGTGTGAAAATAACTCCACTCTGACAGGATGGCCTGCTCCTTACATCCAGGATGATCACTCTCACAGATGTGACAATACACATCACAAGGCTCCAGGTTAATGATCACTCCCCATGGGGCACATAGGCTTTGGCTTGTTGTTCCTTAATAGGATTTGGGGAGGGGCTGGCTGCAGGGCACTTGGAAAACCCACATGTTTCACCTACTGTCAGACAAAACTAAGTCTTGGAGAAATCCTCTCAGTTTCTAAGATGCCTGTTTTTGTCTGTGCATGGGTAAAATCTTGTGTGTTTGTGTGTACACGCTATGACATGTTCATTGAGTATCTACAAAGTGATGAATGCTGGCTCACAGACTTATTTATCCATTCTGCACCATGTGAGCCATATTGCTGGTGGGGATTTGAGGATGAATTAAAACTCTATTGATCCAGTCGCATTTTCCCAGCCATCCCTTGAGGCCATGAGGTCATGACTGTGGTTTAATCATCACCGCACTATTGGGCACTGATTGTAAAGTGTGATTATTTGACAATTTCAAGACTATGTAATGGTGATGATGAACCTATACAGACCCACACTAACAGGGAAATGTGATGAGTTGAATAACTGATTTTATATAAACACCAGAATCATAATGTCCAGAATCAGAATAACCTTTTGCAATATAACAAGGGAACAAACAGCTGGCAGCCTTCCTGACAGGTGTGGTTCTCTTATTGATCTGACTGAACATAGAAAAGCAGATTAATCTGAAATGAAAGAAGGCAAAAGACGAACGGGAGTGTCGACACATGCATGACAAAAGCCGATAATGTGTCGCATGTGAGGTCATGCTTGACAGAAGTGGTGACGTGAACCATTTCCTCGTCACTTCTGCTGGAAAATATTCTAGATGTGTTTATGTTGTCATTTACTACATTGCTTTCATGTTAGCTTGGCTTGTTTCAGATCTTTAGAAGTATTAAAACTCATGTGATGAACCCAGAGTTTAAGAAAATCACACATTCACACAACTTTTGGGGGTTAAGCAATAAGCAGACTGTAGAAAATGCAGTAGAAAGCCTAGACCTTTCCAGTTAGTTGTGTCAGAATGAGTCAAGCAGTAGTAAGCCCAAGGATCAGTGATGTCGAAACTAAGGTGTGGTTGACTGCACCTTTAACTAAACACGTTTGAGTGACGTCAGCCGCAGACAGCGTGCTGAGTGTGGGCAGGAAGCGGAGAGCTCACGGAGTTAAGCTGCCTAGAATTAGTTAGTTATATACCGGAAATCACATAATTCAGCTTCAGGGCGTATTTTTATTGCAATAAAAATAATAATTAGCAAGAAGAACATCTAAAGTAACAAGCATGTTAGCATGAATTTTTGTAAACTGCCTTGTTTAACATGTAGTGCACACCGTAACTGGGCTGACTTTGCAGGAGATAGGAAGCATTTATACTTTTACTTTGAAGGTTCACAAAGGAAAAGCTACTTCCCTTTATGGGTGACTTGACTCTTCCAAAGACATCGAAGGGCGGACAGTGGCTACTTGAACGAAAACGAGGGGAGGTTGCTGAAGAACCGGCTGGGCTGTTGTAGGGTACTCAACATGCTATAACACAAATGCTGTTGAACGCGGGTCCTAAACAACCGTCTTTACCTCTGGAGCGGCAGTAGTTGGCGGCCACGCCCAGTACTCGCCGACCGGAGCCCGTACAAAACTGCTGGCGGATCCGCAGCGGCGAGCGGTTTGAGAGCCAGGAGGGAGGCTAGCGGGCTCATAGCGGAGAGGAAACAGGAGTGTTAGCTGTTTTGGGAATCATGAGAGAGTACAAAGTAGTGGTTCTCGGGTCCGGAGGGGTCGGCAAATCCGCATTAACCGTTCAGTTTGTGACGGGATCTTTCATAGAGAAATACGACCCCACGATAGAGGATTTCTACAGGAAGGAGATCGAGGTAGACTCCTCTCCGTCCGTCTTGGAGATCCTGGACACGGCGGGGACCGAGCAGTTCGCCTCCATGCGAGACCTGTACATCAAAAACGGGCAGGGTTTCATCCTGGTCTACAGCCTGGTGAACCAGCAGAGTTTCCAGGATATCAAACCCATGAGAGATCAGATCATTCGGGTGAAAAGGTACGAGAGAGTGCCGATGATTCTGGTTGGAAATAAAGTGGATCTGGAGGGGGAAAGGGAGGTGTCGTCCGGTGAAGGGAAGGCACTGGCGGACGACTGGAACTGCCCGTTCATGGAAACTTCAGCCAAAAACAAAAGCTCTGTGGACGAGCTGTTCGCAGAGATAGTACGACAGATGAACTATGCCTCAACACCGAATGGCGACGACCAGTGTTGTTCGTCTTGTGTCATTCTTTAAGAAAAAAAAAAGAACAACCATAAAGTTTTATTCTTTGCGCAATGGTAAGTAGAAACACCACGCACTGGAAATGTATAGCAGACATTAGTGTTTTATCAGATACACTGACTAGTACACTTGTAAACATGCCATTGAAACCATTTCTTAGCACATATTAAGTACAGAGTAGTGAACAGAAGAATGCCGGAAGTATGTTCCGCTTGGCTTCGTTTTGATATTTAGCTTCTAGATTTGTATTTGTTCTCCTTCATCTGAGCCCAGTGTTAGTTGCCACTGGTAACCGCAGCAGGACACTTGCCGTCTATTATTTTGAAGAAGTGTCTGACTCATTTGCGGAACTGGAGGGACAAGCTATGACAGAGTTTACAGTTAGCGGTTAAATCTGTACACCAAGTCTGGAGCTCTTAAACTGCTCAAGATCTGTTTTCCAGAATGAGGTTAACAAGAGGGAAGGGATTGCAGTGTGCAGTGCACGATCAGAGATCAGCAAGTTGGTTTTTGCTGAACTGAGCCCAAACGTAGCCTTTAAACAGTGCATTTCTCTTTAGCTTTTGTCTGAGGTTGGCCATTCATGACTCTTTTTCTCTTTTGTGGCAGTGTGCTGCAGCAAGTGTGTACTGTTGAGCTCTTCTTCGTGTCTCACCCTGGCCTTGGAGGAAAGTGAAGGGAGGAATGCTGCAGGGGGGACCAGAGGAGGAGGAGGGGGTCAACTGAGACAGAGGGAGGGGTCTGCTCTTCAGGAATTCTGCTGGGTTGGAGTATCTTCGCTGCACGATCAGTGTCTACCGTTGATGTGGACTCAGTGTCATATCCAGAGTTTCAGCAACACTCCCCTCACAGGATCCTGACTGTAGCCCAAATGGAAACTAAACCCCAATGGAACAGATATGGAGAGCAACACTTAGAGACAGTCATTAACGGATACTTCTGTATAAGACAAAGATGGAGAGAGAGAGAGAGAGAGTATATTTTGTTAATAAACTGCACAGTCTGGGGCAGGTGAAGATTTGGGTGATGTCTCTGCCTGACCCACTTTTCCAAAGTCAAAAGAATTTGACACCACTTATCTGCTGGTGGAGTTAATGTGACGAGTGCCACTTTTTTTTTTCTTTGTCTCCTCTTCGGTGTGTGAGAGGACCTTAACTGAAGTGACACAGGGATAGTGACCCAATCACCCCTGTGTCGAGTGCCTTTCCAAAACTAATCAGCTGTTCAGATTTAGTGCCAACATTCATGTATCACCAAAAGAACCCTTCAACATGGCAGTCCAAAAACGAGTGAACTGTTCTTCTGGATAATCTCATAAGCTGAGGGGAAAAAAAAACAAAAACCCTGCACTAGGCTTTTTGTTAATGGAATGGCAGTTTTCTTTGTGTTTTACATTGGCCTGTTTGAAGTCTAAGGTGATTCTTTTTTTTTTTTTGCAACATTTGCTTGGTCTGGCCAAATCTTTATCTTGAAATGCACAGGTACTAGAACCCCCTAGTCATAATAACACCAAACGCTTACCCGCTAGACATCTTAATTCAAAGGATGTGTTTGTTCTCTTTATTTTGTTGTTTTTAACAGGAAATGTGATGATGTACCGTTGACAGATCTAACCTGATTGTATGTTAATTTCAGACCAGCCTTTTGATAGTGGGCTGTCTGTTTTTAAAAACAAGACTTTTAATACAAACTGCATTTTTTTAAAAAAGAAACCAGGCTGTGATTTCTCTTTGTTGACATCTCTGTTTCACTGTATTACCACAGCAGCTATCTGCCAGTTGGCTGAGCCTAAACAAAGCTGTCATGGGTTTGGAGTTTATCAGTGCTTAAACACCAGATTAGTATGTTTGAATACAACATTTTATGACAAATACCTACAGTAATACAGTAGTTCAAATGGTAAATGTATAGCTGTGTGCATAATTTAGCATTAACCTGGCTTCCCACAAAGCCCAAATTTACATGACCCGTTTGACAGTTGAGGAAGTACAGTAGCCCACAGACTAACAGGAAATAGGGGATCAAAATGCAGCGTGTTTGTTTAAGTTTTATTTTGATGAATTTACTGCGCACATTAACGGAGGCTCTGTTGCATGCAGTGTTAGTTGTAACATGAAAGCTGTTTTGCTGTTACCTCAGAACTTCAGTGTTATTTTTCCGCTGCTTAACCATGCTTTTTTTTTTTTTAAGTCTCAAACACAACTTTTCATGCAGTTAATTCTGAAAGCACTGATGCTTGTGCAAAATCTCAGACAAAGTCAACAGAGCAAGGTGTGTACATGGTTTGGCTAGTTTGACAGAGAGAGGAGCAGCTCACCTCTGTCATGGTGTTTACATGCCACTGGTCAGCTAAGCATGGGTATTTACAGGCTGTTAGATCTTTTGTGGGAATAATTGTGAGGTACTTTACAACAGTTGTCATCCATTTTCCTTTGATGGACCTTAGCTATAGCCACCCACAGGATGGGATCAAGATGAAGGCACCTTTATTTATTCATCATCCTCACGAGCAATAACAAGCAGTTCTGCTTCAGAGAAATGTCTCTATTAACTGTGTGGGTGTAAGAGAGTTTCAGCCTGGATGCAGCATGCGTGGGTGTAGTGACGTGAGGTGGCGAGGTTATGACGGGGCAGGCCCTGTTCTGCCTCTGTTTACCTACGGGGATTACCTGGCCCCGGCCAGCTAGTAGGATGCAGCATGGTTTTAGGGGTGAGAGAGTAAATAAATACAAGAGTAGATAGAGTAAATAAGTGCTGGTGTTCGAGCTGGACTCTAGTGTTGTGATATGCATTCTATGTGTCTTATGAATCTGAGCATGTATATCTGTCACAGAAGTATGTGTTAGAACTGGACAGTATAGTTGAAATCAATATTATGAGATGTTAATAACAGTGTAGTTTTTAATATTGATCTCTATGCCAACATAGCAAATGCCAAACCCCATATAAAGTCATCAAGTGAATGTTTATTACAACGGACAGTCTTACTACTGTTATATTTCACACAACTCTTAGACACAGGATTTTTGTAAAATGGTATTTATTCATATCACCACAATACTGCTCAATTCAGAGTTGATAATCCATAATATTGAATTACTGCCCAGCCCTAGTGTTACATTATTTGCAGATTGTGTCTGTGTACACACGCTCAGCCTATTTGTCTCACTCCCTAAAGCTGGAAAGACAGCTTTATAGCTTAATATTCAGTTTCAGTGTTCTGTGCAGGAGTACTTAGTGTCTGTGTGACTCTTGATAGCAGGTCTCAGATCTTCCTTACAGCCACCACAAGCCATGGCTGGTTTACAAGCGTGCTATCTATATGACGCCAATATCATGTTTCCTCTAAGGCTGAGATACAGGTTGTGTGATTAGACGTCAAAAGAGCTAAAGTTGAACTCTGCCTTAAAATAATGTAGTTAAGCTGGTGGTGGATGAGAGGGAGAAGTTATTATAACTCTGCCCCAGATACTGTAAATGTACACCCCCCATCTTCTGCTGCTGTGCAACTTCAGCCTCTTGCTGTGGCATAAACATCTGATAGCAGAGGAATTTGCCCTTTGGAGAGAAAGAGGCCGGTCGAGTTCCTGTTTCATTTTATCTCTCTCTTTCTAATGAATAAGAAGGTGAAAGTTTCACTTCCTTCCCTTTTTTTTTGCACAACTCAGCACCAGTGTTGACGCTGAGGTTGTGAGTTTAACTGGTTTCAGCTCTTTGATTATTATTATTATTCAGTATTTTGCACACGTGAACTTTTCTTTTAAGGAATTGAATTAGACTGTTTTAAATCTATTGGTTTCAGTTGTAGCCAACGCGAAACCGGTGGCAGTCAGGTATACAGATGGCCTGGCTTGTCAGTGGTTGCTGGTCATGTGATGTGGTTGCCATGGCTAAGGGGGGTTGGGATGTGGTATGGCTGCTTCGGGTGGCCTCATGACCTATGGGAATTCAGACACTGCTGGAATGGTGACTGTAAGAGAGCAGGCTGTCGCCCTCTTTAATCATCTTTCTCCCAGTCGCCACGCGCATATTTTCTTTGCTCCTGACAGGATGTGTGATTTTACTTTGAAGGATCATTTCTACAGTGCAAAGAGGCAGATTTTCCAGTTTCATACTGTCTAAACAGTTTCCCTTTCTTGGTTACAGTAAACTGCATATTGATTTCATAATGATTAAGATGTGGGTTAAGTGTGTCGATTGCGGCTCAGATGCGAGTGCAGTTGCTCTGACAGGAAGTATTGCAACAGAGCCAGAGAGAGTGGGTGGTGTGTGTTTGCATTTTTTTACATGGGACTTAATCACTATATAGGCTCCTCGCTGAATTACAGGCTTCTCTTTCTCTTCCAGCGTCATCATGCTATTTTTGAGGGTTTGTTGTGTTCATGACTTTGGTTTTGCCTTTTTCTTGGCAGATGTGCCTGTTTTCTACTGTATCTGTCTTGAGGCAGTATGCTCTCTGAAAACCACTGAACTCTATCAGCCTTTTGTGTGTCAGTGCTATGCGCCGCACTATTGTTAAGTTTATAGCATGTGTTGCTGTTGTTTCCTCTTGTCTTGGGCATCACCATAACAACACAAGAGTAACCACTGGCTCCTTGTTTGTCTTACCCTCGAATGCTGAATGAGCTGTGTTTTTTTCCTCCCTTTCAGTCACACATGAACACACACACAGAGCAGTAAAGCTACACTGTGGACATTTAAACACACTGCACTTTAGATTCCTGCAGCATTCTAGCACCAAGACTTTGTCCAGACATAAGCAACAGAGGCATCACTCACCTCCTCTGCTGTACAAAGTTCCTCCTCAGGAACAGAAGGCCTGCTACCTTATTCCCCAGTTCAACTTTATATTCTTTGACCATTCTGTACCTTGAAATGTGATTTCTCGTCATATCACTGATATTAGATTGTTAGAGATCTAAAATATGTAGATTTTGTTACAGGAGTGTTGGAACATTGCTGTGTCTGTACAGAAGTGTGGGCTTGGTAGTGTGACCTCTGTTTCTTAGTGTGTGTTGTCTACTGGACTGAGTAAACATAACAGGGGTCAGCTGAGAGTAAGAAGCGATCGTGCATCAGTTCCTTCATTCAGCGCTCTCTATAAATCAGGGAGTGGCTTTCTCACTCAGAGCTGGCTGTGTTGAGATGGGAATGCCCCGGAATGCCTCTCATTCCTGTCATTCCTTCAGCTGTAATGTCTGGACATGTCTTTATCCTGAACAGAAAGAGATGGAAGCAGGGGGACAAAGTTTGGGATATCAGAAGGTGTGGTATTCATGGGATTCATTTTAAGACCCGGCCCTTGCATGCCCCTTTCATGTGTGAATTGAAATTACTTTTCCTTGTTGTTTCCTAGATTTTCTTGTTTTGTTTTTCCTGTTCACAGCTTTGTTGTATGTTCCTCTCTTGGCGACCATCAGACAAAGACAGAGAATGAGAGAGAAAGCAGCAGAGATAAAAGAGAGAGTGCAGGGTTTGTCTAAACAGGCCTCCAGGCACCACCCCACTGTGTCACAAGATGGAACCCATTGGGAAAACAGTCAAACTGCTCTTTTACACCCATCTTTAGATAATCATAGCTCAGTTGCCTTGGTTTGACCTGGAAAGGAAACTAGGTCAAATGAGCCAGTTAGACAGGACCAGTTACTGGCAGCATCCCCTGTGTGGATTAGTAACTTTTGTTCACTGATGTCAGTGAGGACAAGTAATGCTTAAGGAAATGATTGGTAATTGAGCTCAACTACAATCACGTTTTAATTATGATGGGGAAAATAAATCAGGTCGTGAATTGTGTGGAGACACGGCACACTGTAATTTGATCTTTCTGTAATTAATATAACATTAGAATCTTAAAATGCCTTAATAGAATCCTAAGTTTAGGGCATTAAGACCTTGGGACCATGTTCCCTTCGACCTGAGCGAGTCAGGCACAGTGTCAGTCATCTGGTGGCTGTTGCAGCAGATTTCAGATGTAGCTCCTGAGGTTTTGGGTGTGGTTTCTCACTTGAATGTCAGGCTGGCTTTTCTGCTTGAGGACTTGCGAGAAGTGAATGAACTTGAATATTTCCTTGTAGTCTGTGTCATTGTTTGATCACAGGCCTGCATCAGCTGTGTGCAAGTGAGAAATTGTATAACACTTAGAAAAGGGAGGATGACGTCATTTGGACTTGGTCACGGTATTTTTGTGATTTAGTTTTTTTTTTTTTTTTTGGAAAGGTTTGGGTGAAACCACAGAAAATCAGACATACAGGGTTTGAACTATTGGTTGTGATAATCATCAGAGATTTTCTTTTTGACTTAGGTAATAATAGCCACACCCCTTAACTACTGCTGACTTCACCACATGAACATATAAGACCACAATCAACAACAGAGCAGCATATATAGATGTGGGTTGGGTTGTGCCAGCTATTTGTAAATCCATTATTAAGTTCAGTTTAAAGTCTTCTCTAACTATCAGCCAGTTTCAGACTAGTCAGTTATTCCATTGGGCTGTGCTATTAAAACCTAGGTAATGTCTTAGCTTGTATAGACATTGTATATTGGTTGTATATTGGTAAATTGGTTGCAAGAAAACACTCGTAGTGCTGTCCAGTGAAATCACCTCAGCATCACTAGCTATAACATCAATTCTGGAGGAAACTTGACTTAAAGTATGTTGTATTGTTTTTGTAATATAATTGGACATATTGTCAAGTTTACAGTATCATTACAC